GAGCAACGTGCGCCCGATCGCCCCATTAAGCACGTGCGAAGGGTATCCGAGTGCCGTAAACTCCCTGAGCTTGCTCGTCACGCTGAGCGTGAATCCCTCGTCATCGCTCGCCATCGCGACCACCTTGAGCAGGCATCCAACCACGATGCCCGCCTTCATTTTAGCGCATGTGAAGCTATCCCAACGATGGTAGCGCCACACTCGCGGTGCCGTCTCGCAGCCCTCATTAACGTTCTTGAGTCTCGTCCGGAAACTTCCGCTTGGGTCGAGCTCAAGAGTCGTTTCCAAAAAATGGGTGCTCTCGGCGGCTTCCAGCTTCAAAGGGGCCCAGTAGCACTCCGAACGACGGAAATCATCTCGGAAACGATCAACATCCCATGCGCTATCGTCCTTCGCAGTCACCGTGATCACATCGTCCATGTAGCGCTTCATACGGAAACGCGCTTTCGTATCATCTTCGAGCGTTTGCATCCACTCGTGCTAGTCCGAGCCTGACTGTTGTTCATCTTTCTACATACATACATTCTTTCTGTGAGAGGGGCGTGTGGTATAATTCTTTTTCCAGTGTATGTAGCTCTTACGTACGTACCCGATGGTGAACTGCTGACAGGGTTTGCGATGACGAGCGATGCGAATTCGTTTTTTGGGGAGGGTACCCATTCGGTGCTGGTAGCGAACCGACGCTGGCTTGACCTGCAGCGTCGGTTCGGTCTCGTCTCGGTCGGGCGTGCGAGGCTCCTGTGCCCCGGTGAAGCCGATGCTCAGCCCTCTCCCACCGTCGCGGTTCGCCCGTCACCTCGCCTCTCCGCAGGGTTCATCTCTCGCGCCGGCTGCATCTCTCCGCCGGTCGCCAGCACCCGCGCCACCGAGTAGCTGCACCGCCACTCGCGACGCGCCACCCTCGCGCACAGCCTGCATACGCTACTCCCGCCGTGCCTTTGCTACCACATGGATCGCATGTCACTGCAAACGCGCCCGCAGCCGCGCCGTAAAGGTCTGCCGTGCTGGCTGACAATCTCACTCTCCCGCTCCTATTGCATCTGCCTCCCGCCTCCCAGCTCACATTTGACGCTGCAGTAGGTGCTCCTGTCGACGCTGCCGCCGCTGCCACCGCTACTGTCACCGCTCGTTTGATAATCGACGCCACGCTTAGCGGCAGCGAGATCCGCATTTTGAGCCGAGGTTCATTCAACTTGCCTGGTGCGCTCATAATCAGATCAAGTTCCCCAGCGACATCTCCGATGCAGTCGCGGTCCTCCTGTACGGCATGCAGGTGCACAACGTGCTTTATAAGAAGGGCTTGGAGCTTACCCTGAATGTCCAGGGCCGCCTGGCCAAGTGAGTGAGGACTCACGTCATATGTCACTTATACGACACGTGTTTGAGTGGGATTTCACAACCTGAATTGTCCTTAATTACACACAGATGGAAGGCAACTGCCGGGGCTCACACTCGAACATGGCTGGGCGTGCTGCGCACCGCAACCTCGCTACGTGCAAACATGCTACGTGTGCATCCATGCGAGCGTGTGCACGTGGCAGGATCAGGCGTTTGCCCAACCAATGGCTAGACCATACACCCTGTCCGCGTCCTCCCAGCCTTCGCGCCGGCCGTGCGTCTCCTCAAAGTGGCCAGGCGTGCAGACGGAGAACACCTGCAGCACCAGCTCGCCCTCGCCGCCCAGGCGCAGCCACACGACAAACTCCTTGACGCCATCCTTGTCTACGCGCGTCCAGCACAGCCGGTCGCCACCGACGTTGTCGCCGACGCAGATGGACTCGCGCGCCCCGCCGGCCTGTGGAAGCCAGTCGCCGGCCCACTCGTCGGTGCCGGCATGCAGGCGGCTGCCGAGGTCGTCGTACTCATTGAACCTGCGCAGCAGCGCCTCCCGAAGGCGCACCGCGAGCTCTTGCTCGCGTGCGTCCTTCGCGAGACCCATGGGCGGGACCGGGCGGAGCAACCGCGCCGGCGCCTCCGCCTCCGCCTCATGGTCCAACTTGAACAACTTGTGCGCCCCCCTGCCGCAGCGCCCGCGCGGCGCGCGCCACGGAAGCTTCCAAGAAAGGTCAGCACGCAAGTTTGGGAAGGTTTGGACGGCGATCGCCGTCAGCCGCACGGGCGATACACATGCGTTCCTCCTTGACGGGCTGGGACTAGGTCCTGGGGCGGTCCAGAGGCGTGCCCCACATTGCCCCGCCCCCACCCGCCCTCCCCAGACCCCGCATTCTTTCTCGCGCCAACTCACATGCGCTAAACACAGAGCGGGGTACGGGTGACGACTGACCAGAAGTTGCCTGGACCTCTGGGGTGCCCCCCATGACCCCCCTGTGACCCCCTGATTGCACCCCAGCGCTCTCATGCCCCCTCCTCCCTCCTATCATCAGATCTCTCATACCGCCAGTTGGTTGCTCTGGAGGCAAGTCTCATAACTCTTTTTGCTGGAAGAGTCATTTGAGTTTGAGCAAATGGCTTTGGGTTTGGCTCATAACTTGTTTGCTCCACAGAATAAGTTGTTCTGGAAACATGAGGATCGAAGGCAACTAGCGGTGGGTCACGCTTGGAGGTGGCTGGGCACGTCCAGGGGGGTCGGAGGGGGCTGGGCGTCAGCGGGAGCAGTCCGGGTGACTCCCCCCACGCTTTCTTTTGCAGAGCCCGGCGCGCCGCCTGGAGGGGCAACACAGTCTGTTTGTTCTTTGTCTTTACCTTATCAAACCCAACTGAAATCCACAGCCACTCAGGAGAGCAGGAGACGTGCTGCGCAAGCCCCCTCTCCCACCTGGGTGGCTCCGGGCTAACGAACTTGACCCAGAATTTCAATGGGCCCTGGGCAACGACACGCTCGCTGCGCGCCAAGTCCTCATGCTCCTTGGGGCGAGCGAGGATGGGCGGGCTGCTGCCATACAAGAGGCGGCGGACGTGGCCAGCAGCCACACGACCACACGTTGGGGGCGGCGTTTGGCCAGCGGCTTCCTACAACTACTGCGGCGCGAACGTGGTGCAGGTACGGGTGACCGCCTCAGAGAGGGAGGGGGGCGCGGGGGGGGGGGGGGGGTACCGGGGGAAAAAGGGAGGGGGGTACCGGGGGAGGGAGGGAGGGGGGTGCACACGAGTACCCTGCCGCGCGCGCCACGCTGCAGCCGTGGCCTTTGCGCCGAAACTCGCGGAGCGCCTCGACCCTCGCCTCCATCTCGTCGCAGGTGGCCGGCCGCGAGGTGCCGCTGCCAGACAGCTTTGGCCGGCGCTCAAGCTCCGCCACACGGGCCTGCAGCGTCGTCACCTGCGTCGCCGTCACCCCCACTGAGCCCACCGCTGCCGTCGCCGCCGCCCAACCCGCCGCCGCCCAGCCCGTCGCCGCCCAGCCCGTCGCCGCCCAGCCCGCCGCCGACACACCCGAGATGACGCAAGATGGCGCGAGATGGCGCGAGATGGCGCGGCGCGCCCTACGGGCCTGCCTGCGTGTAGACTCGCAGCGCCCGCGTTCTGCGGTCGTGACGCTTGTCGCTGAGTGCTTTTTTTCTGGCCGATTACGATTTTATGTGGCGCTTTCCCACTAGTTTTCTTAATGATTCCCCGTTGCGACTATTAGCTCCCCACAATGATTTTGGTGTCTCAACGACGTTCTTAGTCATCACTGCAGCTTGAATTTTCACATCAAATTGACAATTAGGATACGCGTACTTCTCGCACAATTTATACTCGTGTATAGTGAGAAGTAGATCAAGTAGCCACACACACTGAGCCAATTCCTGTGTGAACTTATTTCCCTGCTCTGTACTAATATTCCCAGTAGCAGCATTCCCAATAGCACCAATAGCACATAGATGTGCAGCTATTCGTTCCATGATGCCCTCTTAGGGCTACGGGCCAGTTGTCACTTCGGCGGCGCACCCAGCCTACCTCGGCGCGCGCAGGCATACCAACAACACGGCGGAACTAACCGCCCTAGCCGAGCTCCTCCGGGCTCTCCTGTCCTCGTCACCGCAACGAGCGGGCTCACGCGGAGTAGTGCGGACCGACAGCGAGTACGCGGCGGCGTGCATGATGGGGAGGGTGACCCCCAAAACGAACAGACAGCTAGCGGAGCGCCTTCGTTCCCTCTGGCGACGCCTTCGCGCCAAACACACCGTGACGTGGAGGCATGTGGCGGGTCACAGCGGCAACAAATGGAACGACTACGTCGACGAGCTAGCTGCTCGCGGCAGGCAAGGTGACAGAGGCTCAAACGCTGCCGAGTGGGCGGACAACACCATCCCGACGGACACTCCCGACGAGGGGAGCGACACGGAAGGACCCGCCCCCGCCCCTCGGGACGGGGGCCCCCGCCCCCCCGGGGGGCCCTTTGGGGCCCCTCCAGGGGGCGACCCCTCCGGGGAGGCCGGCCATCCCCGTGCCGGTTCTCCCCAACCAACCCCGCCGGCAGCGCGAGCTGCCGGCCACATTGAGCGGTTCGTCCGCGTCGCGCACTCGTCCCAACCGGGGGCCGCAGACTCGTTCTGCGCGCCAACGGCTGGTGACGCTGTGTTGCCCTTGAGCTAGTCCTTCCCCGGTCGCCTAGCCTCTGCGCTGTCTGGCGGACGCCTGTATGCCATGCACGCGGACCACGCTTGCGTGGATACGTGGCTGGCAGGCTGACCCGTGTGCGGGGTAACCCGCGCACGGGGAAGCTTCACGGGTTCGAGCCGTCAAACATTGAGCAGCGGAGGTGTGCCGAGGGGGACCGGGAGGCGGTAAGCCGTCGTCGCCCGGCGCTGCATGCAGCACCGTGGCGATGGCGCTAAGAGGTTCCTCTTTTCCGCGCCCCCCCGCAAGGCGCGCGATACACTCCCCCCACACCCCCCTCCCTCCCACCCACTCTTTCCTACGCGAAGAGAGCGCGTTTAGCCGCCCCGGGGCCCCAAAACCAAATGTGTGAGTCTCGTGTGAGTCTGGGGGCGAGACCGAAAATTGCCGCATTTTCCCCGCCCGCTGGGTATGCCCTCCAGGGGCGGCCCCTTCGGCACGCAGCATCTGGTGACGTGATCATCTCCTTCGTTGTCCATGGACCTCTTCGGCTCGCTTCAGAAGGAGCTGCAGAAGCAGAGTGAGGAGCTGTCACGGGAGTACGAGCAATGCGCCGAAGCGGCAGCGGCGAGCACGCCGCAGCACACGCCTGCTGGCAGCAGCGGCAGCAGCAGAGGAGGAGACGGCGACTTTTTGGGCTCGCTGGGCCTCGGCGGCTTCTCTCCGGCCGCCTTCACCACCGAGGCGCTTTCCAGCGTCTCCAAAACACTGTCCGACATGCCGCGGCTCGACATCCCCTTCCCGGCGGAGGATACCGCCACTCCGAAGCCACGCACCGCCTCGGCCGCCCCGGTTCCCGCTGAAACGTCGACGACCCAGCCCGCGCAGCAGACGCGGGCGGGAGCGACTCCGGCGGGAGCGACAAGAGCGGCGGAGGAGAGGGCGCGGCTGGCGGCGGCGCGAGCGGCGGCGCAGGCGCAGGCGGCGGCGCAGGCGCAGGCGCAGGCGGCCGCGGAGGCGGCGGCGGCGGCGCGGCGAGCGGCGCAGGCGGAGGAGTCGCGGCGCGCGGCGGCGGACGCGGACGCGGACGGCGACTCGCCTCCGTCGCCCGACGGCCCTGCGCCGTCCTCTCCGGACGCCGCCGCGGAGGGGTCTCCGCCAGACTCTGCGTTTGGGTGGGGCGCCTTTCTGGTGGAGCGCGGCGTGAAGAGAGGAGCTGTGAATAGAAGAGCTGTGAACAGGTCGGGCGCCTTTCTGGTGGAGTGCGGCGTGGCTCCGGAGGCGCCGGCAGGGGAGAGGCAGGCCCTCGCCCCGCCAGAGCCCGCGAGCCTCCGACGCGCGGCTAGCTCCCCGCGGTAGGTGGCGGAGGCGTTGTCTGCCGCCGTGCGCGACTCTCGAGAGGCGGGGCAGCGGCTGGTGAGACTTTGGAGGGAAGGGAGGGGGGGGGGGGGGGGGAGGAGGGCGGGCCCAACCGATGATTGCAACGTCAGGTGCACCTCGAGCGGGAGGCGAGGGAGGCGAGGGCGGAGGCCGCCCGGCTCGCTGCGGCGCTCGCGGCGGAGGAGGAGCGCAGGAGGGAGGCGGAGGAGGCGGGGGAGCGCGCAGCCGCACGGGCGGCGGAGACGGAGGCGGCGGCGGAGGAGGCGGCGCGGCGCGGCGCGGCGGCAGAGGCGGAGGCGGCGGCGGCGCGAGCCGCTGTCGGCGCTGCGCTTGAGGCGCAGCGCACATCCGACGCTTCCGCGGCCGAGGCGCGAGAGGCGGAGGCGGCGATGGCGGGGCGCCTCTCTGCCACCGCGGAGGAGGCGGAGGGAGGGGCGGGTGCGCTGGCCGCCGCCCTCGGCCGTGCCGAGGCGGCGGAGGCGGCGGCGGAGGCGGCGGAGGCGCGTGCCGAGGCGGCGGAGGCGGCGGCGGAGGCGGCGGAGGCGCGTGCCGAGGCGGAGGCGTCCGAGGCGGCGGCGGCGCGAGCGGCGGCGGCGGCGAGCGAGGCGGCGATGGCGGAGCTCTCCGAAGCGGCTGCTGCGCTCGGCATGGGCGGCGGCGGCGGCGGCGGCGGCGGCGGCGGGGAGGGGGAGGGGGAGGAGCGGGTGGAGGAGCGTCTCGCTCGCGCCGCCGCCGCGGCGCGCGAGGCGAGAGGGGGGAGGGGTGGCTGACCGGGCCCCCATCCATGACGCGTCTTGGACAAGTCCCGCAGGCGCACGAGGCGATGGAGGAGCAGCTGGCGGCGGTGCAGGCCGAGCTTTACGCGACGCAGGCGCCGCGGTTTCTTTTCCCCCTCACTCGCTCGCTCGCTCACTCCTTCAAGTCCGCACACAGAGTTCGTGAGCAGTCCAAGTGTCCCTAATTAATCGTTAATTAGTAGTTAATTAGTGAATTAATTCGCAGTCCAAGTGTCCCGACGCGACGCAGGCGGAGCTGGCGGCGCGCGAGGAGGCCGAGGCGGCGGCGGTGGCTGCGGTCGAGAGGGAGGCGGAACGGCTGCGCGGCGTCGCGGCGGCGGCGGAGGCGGATGGCGATTGGTCTGCCGGGGCGACATGTCCAAGCCGCGTCCCCGACGCGTCCCCTGCACGCCCCGTAGGCGGCCCGCGACGAGCTCTTCCAGGAGGCGAGCGCGCTGCAGCGCGAGGCGGCGGCCCACAGCGGAGGGGAGGCGGGACTGCGGGGCCTCGCCTCGGAACCCTCTCGGAACGTTCCTGCAGGCGGCGGCGCAGCGCGAAGCGGCCAAGTCGCGTGACGCGGCGCTGGCGCGCGCGGGGGAGGAGGCGGCCGCCGCCACCGCCGCCGCCGCCGCCTCGGCCGCGCAGCAGGAGCAGCTGTACTCGGAGGCCGCCAAGCTGCAGGCGGAGGTTGCGCGCCTCAGGAGAGAAGGGTGCGGGGGTCGCGCCGCCATGTCTCCCCGCGCCTCCTTTTGAAGTCTCGGAACCTTCCCGCAGGAGAGCAGTGCCGCCGCAGGGCTCGCCGGGCGGTGCGCTGGCGGTGCGGGCGGCGCTCGGGGGAGACGTGGGCGGCGGCGACAGCGGCGGCGGTGGCGGCGGCGGCGGCGGCGGCAGCGGTGGTCGGGCCGATTTGACGGGTTTGAGCGGCGAGAAGTACCGGTACTTGCGGCAGGTGACAATCAACTTTCTCGAGGCGGCGCGAGGGGCTCGGTCGAGACACTGTGAAGGGCGGCCTCGTCTCACCCACGCGGGCTTGGGCGTGCACAGGCACCCGAGGGCAGGCAACACGAGCTGTGGGCTCCGATCGCGGCGGTGCTCGGGAGCTGTGGCGCCCGACGAGGCTGGCTTGCTGACAGCGGGTCACGACTCCTGGCTTGCGAATCAGGTGCTCGAGCTGACGCCCGACGAGGTGGAGAGCATCGGCACGGCCCGGTGCAGCTTCTCCCTGGCAGCGGGACAACACCGCCGCACGCGTGCCCATCCACACGTTCGGCGGCGTCTTCCCCCTTAGGCACGCCCACCGCCCCTGCTCTCTCGCGCTGCTGTCCGAGCTCATGTCGGACCCGACCGCCCTCGCGCACACCCACCCGCACACGCACGCGGCCCTCGCCGCCACCGCCGACGGAGCGAGGGCCGTCGCCGGCCTGACCGCGGCCGCCGTCGCCGCCGTCGTCGCCGCCGCGCCGGGCGTCATCTCGAGCGGCCTGGCGACGGCCGCGGAGGGCGTATCCTCGGGCGTCGCTGCGCTCACGGCTGCGAGCCGCGCCGCTCCAGCCTCCACCGGAGCGGCGCCCGGCGCGGAGGTTGCCGTGTGACCGCGCGCAGGGCTGTGGCGGCGCGAGCGAGCCGAACGCATCGTTGTGCCCGAGTCGACCGACAGGGAGTCGTTTTTGTGTTTTTGGAGGGAGAACTCTTCGAGGTGTGCCATGCATGTGAGTGTCGCGTGTCGTGGCAGGGGGGACCAGTCTGCCTGGCGCTCGACCAGGCGCTCTCCGCCGCCGACACAGCCGCCGTCACCCGTCGCTGCACACCCGTTTGTAGGCCAGTGTCGCTGGTGCGGGGGCGCCGCAGCGTTTATCCCCCCCCCCCCCGCGATCTGGTTCTGGGCAATCTCTGAGTAAGTGTGAGCCTGTGTATATGCGATATTCGCAACAAGAGCACAGAGCGCACTGATGTGGGGGAGCACCCCGTGCAGCTCCCCACACATGGACATGGACATGGACAATTTTCGTGGCAGCTCTTCTCTCCCGGCAGCCGGCACAGCTGACGCTCAGATCCTCTGGGCAGATACGAGTACACAACCCACCGAAAGACACGGATACACAACCCGGACTGTGCACTTGCTTGCGTTTCAAGCTCTTGCCTGCCTAGAGCCGCCGCGCCTCCCACCCCTCCCACCCCTCCCACCCCTCCCACCCCTGCTCCCACCCCTTCCGCCGCGCCGACCAACAGCCGCCGGCGCCCGCGGGTTGCGACTGCTGCGACTGCTGCTGCTGCTGCTGCTGCTGCTGCTGCTGCTGCATCAGCCTCTCCAATGCCCTCTCCCTCGCTGCAGCCGCCATGACAGCTGCCTCCCTCTCCCTCACAGCTGCCGCCTCCCTTGCCGCCTGCCTCGGCCGTGCCCGAGAGATGTGGGCGTCGATGTCAGCGCCGCTGCGAGCGCCCGCAGGTTGCGGGCCACGGGCTGCGGTTGGCTCAGCGCGAGCAGGTGGCTGGTAGACAAACGTCGTCTGCGCCGCCACCAGCCGCCCAGTTGCGGCGATGGGCAGCGCCGGCTGGCGGCAGGTCGGGCAGTTGGTGTCGCGCTCCAGCACGCGCGGCACACACGCCTCGCAGTACAGCGCGTGGCCACACGCGAAGCGGACCGAGCGAGGCGCAGACCAGCAGAGATCGCACTGGCGCTCCGCGTCCGCGTCCGCCTCGGCTGCCACCGCCCCTGCGAGGCTCGGTGGCGGCGATGCCGCCATCTCCCCTGCCGCCTCGGCGAGCGCCCCCAGCTGCGGCAGCGCCTCTGCGAGCGGCATCCGCTTCCTCTTCCTCTCGTACGCCAGCCCGACCACGAGCCGCGCCAGCTCCTCGGCCTGCGCCGCCGACCAGCCCGCGTCGGCCGCCGCGATGGCCTCCGCCGTGTCGGGCTCCTCCAGCGCATCGTAGCACTCGTTGAGCAAGCCGAGAGCGCCACGGCCGGTCAGGCTGACGAGCAGCGTGATGCCGAGCGCGAAGCCGTCAGTCAGCTGAGAAGCCTGGCCATCCAGCGAGATGATCGGGTCCATGTAGCCTGGCTTTCCAAAGATGCGCTGCGTCGACAGGTGCGAGACCTGCCCGGCCGTCGCCTCCGCCGCGCGCGCGAGGCCCACGTCAGCGAGGTAGCCGTTGCCGCGCTCGTCGAGCAGGATGTTGCCCGCCGACACGTCGCGGTGCAAGACCATCGGAGAGAGCGTGTGCAAGTAGTGCAGCGCGCTCGCCGCGTCGCGCAACACGCGGAGCCGTGCGGCGGAGGAGAGCGGCGGAGGCGGCGTCTCGAAGCCGAGCATGCGGAGCCGCTGCAGCGCGGCTGGCGTGCGGTAGAGGCGGTCCTCGAGGCTGCCGCCGCGGCAGAGGGGGTAGACGAGGCACGCGCGCTCAGGCGCCAAGCAGACGCCGAGGAGAGGAAGCAGGGACGAGTGGCACGCCGTGCTGAGCGTGCGCACCTCGCTCTGCAGCTCGGCGAGGCCTTGGGCGCCGACACCGACCAGCGCCGTCTTGACAGCGAACCCGCAAGCGACGCACGGGAGCGACGGCAGCTCGTCGGCGCGGTAGACGCGCCCGAAGCCGCCCTCGCCCACCTTGCGCGCCTCGGCAAAGCCATCGGTCGCCGCGGTAAGCTCGTCGAGAGGGACGGCGGCAAGCGGCACGGCGGCGGCGGCGAGGGCGGCGACACTGGCCGCCGCCTCCGCTGCCGCCGCCTCCGCCTCCGCTGCTGCCACCTCTGCTGCCGCCGCCTCCGCTGCCGCCGCCTCCGCTGCCGCCGCCTCCGCTGCCGCCGCCTCGCTCCTCCTCCTCGCTTCCTCCCTCTCCCTCGCCTCCTCTCTTGCCTGCGCCGCTGCCGCCTCCTTTGCCACCCGCGCTGCCTCCTCTCTTGCCCGCGCCGCCGCCGACTCCGCCGCCCGCGCTGCTGCAGCCTCCTCAGCTGCCCGCGCCGCCGTGGCCTCCGCTGCCTGCACCGCCGCTCGCGCCTCCTGAGCCTGCTCCTCCGCCCGCACTGCCGCCGATGCCTGCCTCGCCGCCGCCTTCTCCTCCTTCTGCCGCTGCCGCTTCAGCGCCTTGGCCTCGCGGGTCCTGCGATCCGCCAGCTCGTCGCGCAACCGCCGCGCCGCCCGCAGGGCCTCCGATCTGTCGGCGAATTGCGTGTTCGCGTTGATCGCCGCCCTGAGCGCCTCGAGATCGGCGTCGCCTCGGTTGCACGCCTCAACCGCCTCGCGCAGCGCCGTCTCGGCAGCGTCGCGAGCCTCAGCCGCCTCTGCTGCCACGTTGCGCGCGGCGGCCGCCGCCGACTCAGTTGCCGCCGCCTCGGCAGCAGCCTTTGCCGCACCTGCAACTGTGGCGCTGTGCTGCCGGAAGGCCTCAACGCACTCGGCGTGGCCTTTCTCCTTGGCCATCTGCAGCGCCGTATTGCCGCTCGCACTGCTCGCCGCGGTGTCTGCGCCCGCCCGCAGCAAGCGGAGCACGACGGCGGGGTGGCCGTTGATGGCGGCGTCCATCAGCGCGGTGTAGCCAATGCTGTCCTGCTGATTGACCTCCGCGCCACGCCGCAGCAGCAACTCGACGACCCGCTCGTGGCCGTAGCGGGCGGCGAGCATCAGCACGGTGCAGCCGTCGCTGTCCTGCAAGTTGATCTCCGCGCCGTGCCGAATCAGCAAGTCGACGACCCACTCGTGACCACTGTCGGCGGCGCTCATCAGCGCGGTGCGGCCATTGCTGCTCTGCAAGTTGACCTCCGCGCCGCGCCGCAGCAGCAGCTCGACCAGCTCGTGGCCGTGGTAGGCGGCGTCCATCAGCGCGGTGTAGCCAATGCTGTCTTGCTGATTGACCTCCGCGCCGTGCCGAATCAGCAACTCGACCACCCGCTCGTGGCCTTGGCGGGCGGCGGCCATCAGCGCGGTGCGGCCATTGCTGCTCTGCAAGTTGATCTCCGCGCCGTGCTCCAGCAGCAAGTCGACCACCCGCTCGTGGCCGTAGTTGGCGGCGAGCATCAGCAGCGTGATGCCGCCCTTGCCTCTCTCGTACGTCGCATCGACCCGCCCGCCGCCCTGGAGCCACGTCAGCACCGTTTTCTCGTCGCCACGCCCAGCCGCTGCCACGACCTCATCGGAGACTGCCACGCCACCGCTCGACGCCCGCTCCGCCGCCGCCGGCGACAGATTACCCGGTCGCACCCGCACGCTCTCGCCGCTGCCCTCGAGCGCCACCACGTACCGCCCGCCCTCAAAGCTCCGCGCCACGCCTCGCCGCCCGTTCAGCTCGGGGCGGGCGGAGAGCCCGCTGAGCACGACTCGCTGGCCGAGCAGCGGCGCGTCCACAGCTGCCGCTGCCGCGCCCGAGGAAGCGCCGCCCGCCCCTGCTCGGCCCTCCGCCGCCGCCTCGTCGGTGTCTTGGCACAGCTTGTCCGGTCGCACCCGCACGCTCTCGCCGCTGCCCTCGAGCGCCACCACGTACCGCCCTAGCCTGAAACTCTGCGCCATGCCGCGCTGGCCGTTCAACTCGGGGCGGGAAGAGAGCCCGCTGAGCACGACTCGCTTCCCGAGCAGCGGCGCGTCCACAGCTGCCGCTGCCGCGCCCGAGGAAGTGCCGTCCGCCCCTGCTCGGCCGTCCGCAGCCGCTGCCGCTGCCGCCGCCTCGCGCCGCGCCGCCTCCGCCGCCTCAGACAAGACCTTGACGCACTCAGCGTGGCCCTTCTCCTTGGCCATCTGCAGCGCCGTCTTGCCGTTCGCAATGCGCGCCGCTGTGTCTGCGCCCGCCCGCAGCAAGCGCCGCACGACGGCGGGGTGGTTCAAGAGGGCGGCGTGCATCAGCGCGGTGAAGCCTTTGATGTCCTGCAGGTTGACGTCAGCGCCGCGCCGTATCAGCAACTCGACCAACCGCTCGTGGCCGTCGATGGCGGCGCCCATCAGCGCGGTCCAGCCGTCGCTGTCCTGCAGGTTGACCTCCGCGCCGTGCCGCAGCAGCAAGTCGACCACACGCTCGTGGCCGTGGTAGGCGGCGTCCATCAGCGCGGTCCAACCACCGGTGCCGCGCTGCAGGTTGACATCAGCGCCGAGCCGCAGCAGCAGGTCGACCACCCGCTCGTGGCCGTGGTGGGCGGCGCCCATTAGCAGCGTGACGCCGCTGAAGCCGCCTTGCTCGTACGCCGCGTCGACCCGCCCGCCGCCGTCGAGCCACGCCAGCACCGCCTCCTCCTCGCCTCGCTCAACCGCTGCGATGACCTCATTCCACCGCCTCACGCCTGACACCGGCTCCGCCGCCGCCGGCGACAGATTGCCCGGCCGCACCCGCACGCTCTCGCCACCGCCCTCGAGCGCCACCGCGTACCGCCCGCCCTCGAAGCTCCGCGCCACGCCCCGCCGCCCGTTTAGCTCGGGGCGGGCCGAGAGCCCGCCGAGCACGACTCGCTGCCCGAGCAGCGGCGCGTCCACAGCTGCTGCCGCTGCCGCGCCCGAGGAAGCGCCGCCCGCCCCTGCTCGGCCCTCCACCGCCGCCGCCGCGCCCGCCGCCTCGCGCCGCGCCGCCTCCTCGGATAAGGCCTTGACGCACTCGGCGTGGCCCTCCTCCTCGGCGAGCTGCAGCGCCGTACGCCCGCCCGAGGTGCGCGCCGCTGTATCTGCGCCCGCCCGCAGCAGGCAGAGCACGACGGCGGGGTGGCCCTCCTGGCACGCAACGTGCAGGGGCCTGAAGCCGCGGCCCGCAGCTTGGTTGATCGCCGCACTGGCCTCGAGGAGCAGCTGAACGATCTCGAGGTGGCCCTTCTGGCACGCGATGAACAGCGGCGTGGCGCCACTGTCCTTGGCTTGGTCGACCGCCGCGCTGGCGCCGAGGAGCAGCCGGGCGCACTCGAGGCGGCCCTTCTGGCACGCGATGAACAGCGGCGTGGCTCCGTTGGCGTTGGCTTGTCCGACCGCCGCGCCAGCAGCGAGAAGCAGCCGGGCGATGTCGACGTGGCCCTCTTGGCACGCCATGAACAGCGGCGTGGCGCCGTCCTGCATGGCTTGGTTGACCGCCGCGCTGGCAGCGAGGAGCAGCCGCACGCACTCGAGCTGGCCCTCTTGGCACGCGACGAACAGCGGCGTGAAGCCGTCAGTGTCTGCTTGGTTCACCGCCGCGCTGGCAGCGAGGAGCAGCCGCGCGATCTCGGGGTGGCCCTTCTCGCACGCAATGTGCAGCGGCGTGGTGCCGGTATGCATGGCTTGGTTGACCGCCGCGCCAGCCTCGAGGAGCAGCCTGGTGCACTCGAGCTGGCCCTCCTCGCACGCGATGAGCAGCGGCGTGGCGCCGTCATCCTTGGCTTGGTTGACCGCCGCGTCAGCCTCGAGGAGCAGCCGGGCGCACTCGACCTTGTCCTCCTGGCACGCCATGTACAGCGGTGTGAAGCCGTCAGCGTCTGCTTGGTTCACCGCAGCGCCCGCGGCGATCATCAGACAGACGCAGTCGATCTGGCCAGCCAGGCTCGCAGCGCACAGCGGCGTGGTGCCTTTGTCTGTAGCTTGGTCGACCGCCGAGCGGGCCTCGAGGAGCAGCCGCACGCACTCGAGCTGGCCCTTCTCGCACGCGACGAACAGCGCGGAGCAGCCACGGCCCGTCGTCGCCCCCACGCTCGCGCCGCTCTCGAGCAGCAGCCGCACCGCCTCGGCCTGCCCGTAGTAAGCGGCAAAGGTCAGCAGCGTGAAGTTGTTCGCTCCGATCCGCTGCGCGTCGAGCTCGGCCGTGAGCGCCGGGCCGCGCGTCCGCCCGGCGAGGAGGGCGCGCAGCGAGCCCAGGTCGCCCCGGCGCAGCTCGGAGGGCACGAACGGGCTGATGGCGCCGCTCATGGGCGGCAGCGAAGAGAAGAAATACCCGCAGAACGAGCACCCGCCCTCCCTTACGTAAGTACGAGGGTGGGACGACCGCGTGGTGGCATGAAGGTTGCAGCGAGAATCAGCGAGAGACTGCGAAGAGAGATAGGAAGAGGCAGACTCCCTGTGGGCGACGGATAGCGCACCACACACCTCTCCTTAAAATCCCTGTGTGGTGGCGGCGTGCCGTCCTCCCATCCCTCCCTTGGGTTGTCTGTTTTCTTTCTTTCTTTTTTCCCTTACGTAAGTGACAAGGGAGAGACCGACGAGAGTGGGACGGCCGCGAGGTGGCATGAAGGTTGCAGCGAGAAGCGGCGAGAGACTGCGAAAAGAGATACGAAGAGGCAGACTCCCCAGGGTGGGCGACGGCTAGCGCATCACACTCCTCTCCTTAAAATCCCTGTGTGGTGGCGGCGTGCCGTTCTCCCATCCCTCCCTTGGGTTGTGTGTTTTCTTTCTTTCTTTCTTTTCTCTTTGGTTCTCCGTTTTCTTTTTTTCTTTTTTCCCCCTGGGGGTCAGGGCTCTCTTGCCCGATCCCGATCATCTGGCCCGGTGGGTGTGCTTCTTAGCCCCCCGGCCCTGGAAGAAACGTGCTTCACCAGTTCCCGCGAGACGGCCTGAGGGATCACACATCTAACCGCTCCTTTCTAGACCGCGTACGTTTTGTGAGAGAGAGAGATCTCTCTCTCTCTCGTACGTTTTGTTTAATGTCAAAACAAACAAAATCTTAATGTCCGCTGCCTGGTGCGGCCCCACCATCTCACACTCCCATAGTCCAGCGGCTGTGCGCTTTCCCCTTCCAGCGACGCGGACTTTCCGGTGATTGCATGGTAGCTGCTCGCGCACGCCCTCGACGGCCTGCAAGGCGAAGTTGGCGCGTGAAAAAAGAAAAACACGCGGCGTGCTCGTCGAGGCTAGTTGCTCGAGGCTGCCATGGCTGCTCCGGCGGGCCACCCAGAAGTGGTCGCATCCCACCCGGAAAAGGTCACTGGCGACTCCGAAGCCGTCGCCGCCGCGAGACGCGGGGACGTCGCTGCGGTGCGGCTGTGGCTGGAGCGCGGCGCGCCAGACACCAGGAGACGGACGCCGTCCCAGTCCGCCGTGGCGACCGTCACACGACCCCCCGGCGCTGCCGCGGCCCCAGGTGCGAGTACCACAGTGATGCCCGAGGAAGCCAGTGGCTCGGCCTCTCCCTGCAGCGAGAGCGCGGTGGACGCGCCGAGCAGCGGCCTCGACATCCCCGTGGAGGTCGCTGCGCTGGCGCGGCGTGGCGGCAACTCCGAGGTGCTGGCGTGGCTCGACGGCGGCGGGCGGGTCAACGCGACCATAGCGGACGGGCCTGTCAGCGGCGTCACGCTGCTCATGCTCGCCTCTGCGCACGGCCGCGATCGGCTGGTGGAGGCGCTGCTTCAGCGCGGCGCGGCGGTCGACCAGCAAAACAGCTTTGGCACCACCGCGCTGATCGCCGCCTCGGAGCGGGGCGGCGAGCGCGTCGTGCACCTGCTCTGTGGCGGCGGAGCTGCGGTCGACGTGCCTGACTCCGTGGGCCGGACCGCGCTGATGCAGGCGGCGGTACACGGGCACGCCGTCGTCGTCGAGGCTCCTCCGCCGGCCCTGCGCACCACCCCTTCTCGGAGCCCTTCTCCGAGGCTTCCTGGAGCGCCCCGTGTAGGCGCTGCTGCGGCACGGCGCGTCGCCCGACCTCGTCGCCCGGAACGGAGCCCATGAACACTCGCGCCTTCCTCTGCTTTGCTGTCTCCTCCCATCCCTCCCTCGGGTTGTCTATAGGTGGGACCGCCCTCCTCTTCGCCTCCGTCAAGGGGCACGAGCGAGTTGTCGAGACGCTCTGCAGGCGCGGCGCGGACGTGCGCGTGCAGGTGCCCGCAGCCAGCGTCGGATGATGGGAGAAAGTTTTTCCTCGGTGGCGATAGAGCGCCTCTACTCGTGATGCGAGGGCAAGCACACCGACACTCTCGTGACAAAGCTGACACGTGACAGAGCCGTCCACTCCCGACTTCACATACATTGCGCCCGCGGCCCGCTGCCACTAACCCGCACCCTCTCCACGCAGGACTGCCGAGGCGCGAGCGCGCTGATGATCGCCGCGCTCGGGAACCACCCCGCCGTCGTGCGGTGCTTGCTGCGGACGGACGCGCGGCTGCTGCTCGAGCAGGTCAACGGCGGCGGGCTGACGGCGATGGACATGGCGGCGGCTTAATTAATAATTAATAGTTAATCAACAGGTAATTAGTTAATGAATTAGGCGATGGACATGGCGGCGAGCGAGGGGCACCTTGCTTGCGTGGCCGAGATGCAGCGACACTTGGACAGGGGGGGCGAGAGCAGGGCGGGCGAGAGCAGGGGCGTGTGCCTCGACGCCGGCGAACGCAAGGGGGGCGAGAGCAGGGCGGGCGAGAGCAGGGGCGGCGAGAGCAGGGCGGGCGGCGAGGCGCTCGACTGGAAGGCGCTCGAGGAGCTGGTGGCGGAGGAGGAGGCGGAGAAGGTGCGGGCGGCGGGCGGCGGGGAGCAGGTCCGGCCGAGCCGGGGGAGGAGGAAGCCGAGGCGGAGGCGCGGCGGCGGGGCGGGCAGGGACGGGGCTGCTGGAGACGGAGGGGCAGCAGCACCCGACGAGCGGGGGGGCGCAGAGGAGGAGGGCGCAGAGGAGGAGGGGGCGGTTGCGGAGGCGGTGGCGGAGGCGGTGGCGGAGACGGTGGCGGAGGTGGAGGCGGAGGTGGAGGCGGAGGTAGAGGAGGCGATGGGGGCGGAGGCGGAGGCGGTGGAGGCGGTGGAGGAGGCAGGGGCCAAGGGGGCAGGGAGAGAGCTGGAGCTGGCCGAGTGCCGCGGGTCGGGAGAGGCGGCAGCGGCAGGGAGCCAATCGGGCCTCGAGCAGGCGGGGGCGGCAGCAAGTCAGGCGGGAGACGAGGAGGGATGCCCGGGACTAGGCCCGGGACGAGGCGACACGCCGCCTGCCTTGGCCGTCGACACGGCCGCGGTCGACAAGGTTGTGCCTCCCGAGCTGCTCGAGCAGCTCCAGTGCCCGCTGAGCCTCGACTTTATGTCGGACCCGGTGATGGCCGCGAGCGGACAAACCTATGAGCGGGCAGCGATCGAGAAGTGGCTCGCCATGGGCAAGCGCACTGACCCGATGAGCGGCCAGCAGCTCGAGCACACAGACCTCGTGCCGAACGTGCTGGTCCGAAGCCTCTGCCGCACGTTTGCGCTCTCGTGACGTCGTCTCCTCACTCCTGCCCTCTGTCGATATCTCTCTTCTCTCTCATCCAGGAGCCAGACGCGCTCGTGGTGTGCCCGGCCTCAACCGGCAGCTCGCCCATTTTTTTCATTCCTCCGTTGAGCGAGAAAAGAAAACACACGTGTAGAGGGGGGGCAGCGAGAGCCGCGGGGCCGGGGGGCGAGGGAGCGAGTCCTAGTGCGTAGTGGGTGTTCTCAAGCGCGCCAGAGCTTGGCACCCTTCACACATCACGAAGCAGGAACCCGTCCTGCGCAAGACACAGATCGCTTCTCTCGCCGCGTACCGCCACCCACCCCCGACCCCGCTGCCGCAGAAACGCACGCGACGCACACCCCCGCAAGCAGCAGAGCTGCGGCAGCTGCGGCCGGCTGTGGCTAGACATACCTCACCAGCATCAGCGTCTCGCTCGTCCGCAGCAGCGCCGCCTACAGGAGAGGGACACTGGCGGTGGGACTCCCGCCCCGCCCCTCTGCGGCACCCCTCGCGGTCGTGCCTCGATCATCGCCGAGCGGCGGGTGGGCGGCGGGGGCGAGGAGGTTGGCTGCTCGCCCGCTTTGCTCTGCTCCGCCTCGAGCATCGTCGCGAGGCGGGCGTGCGTCTGCAGAAGCTGCGCCTCGAGCGCGCGGTAGGCGCGCGGCAGGTCGACGTACCACAGGTAGCAGGTGGTGCGCGGGTTGTGATCCACCGACCATGGCACCTACCAGTGAGCATCTCGCCCTCAACGGACACAAACTCGTCATGCTCACGCGGTCTGTCTGGCCGACCGGCGGCGCCTCTTGCAGCGACGCGAAGCCCGCGCTCATCAGCGTCCACAACAGCGGCCGCGCCTCCTTCTCCGGCATGAGGCCGAGCTCCGCGAGCTGCTTCAGCTCGAGCCTACGCGGCACACGCAAGCACAACTCCGCTGGTTGGCGCTCGATCGGCGAAGCCAACCCGTCGCCCTCTGCGGCACGCCGGTACACGCGCGGCACGCCGTCTTCTATCTTCTAGGAAGGTTCTAGGAAGGTTCTAGGAAAGTTCACCGGTAGACGCGCGGGACGCCGTCTTCTATCTTCGGGCAGCCGCCGTTTGCGCGGAAGCGGAGGAGCAGCCGGAAGAGGCGGCATGCTGCCTCTCCGCATCGGTTGAGAACGGCCTATCGGCGTGGTCGCGGTTCGGTTCCAGCGGGTTGTGGGAGGGGACCAAGCTTTTCCCCTCTCAGCTGCGTGTGGCGGCTGCATCTGGCGCCCCATCTCAGCTACCACCTCTCGGCTGCATCTCTCGGCTGCATCTCGGCTGCGGCTCGCCGTCTCGAGGGCGAGCTGCCGGATGGCGGCCGTCATCTGGGCGAGGTTGAGCATGTACTTCCCGTTGAGGGGCGACGCCTATAGCCGCGGCCAGCAGCGCAACCTCAGCAGCTCTGTGGCGGAGGGAGGCGGTGGTGCTCGTCGCGAGTGGGAAGTCGCCATCATGCAGAGCGGGTCGTTGCACATCGTGTCGAGGTAGTTTGCGACGAGCTGCCGCCTAAGTAATTCGTTCATTACTAGCTAATTAACTAGTTCATTAATGGGGTAGTTCGCGACGAGCTGCCGCCGGTCCGACTCGAACTCGTGCCCCTCCAGGAGCGGGCCGCACTCCTGCGGGAGAGGGGCGGGAAGGGGGTGGGCAGGAAGAGGGATCGCGGCGGGGAAGTGCGCCCGCCTCTCGCAGCCACTTTTCGCCGCATCTCCGCGGCCCGGCGGCCCGCGCCTGCACCAGCTCCTCGACCGTGAAAGGCGTGGTGCACGGCTTCCCCCGCTCCTCCTGCGAGTGCGGCAGCGGCCACGCCCCGTGCGTCAGATCGGGCGGCTGCCTGCGGACACGTCGCGGACATGTCAGGGACGTGTCACGGACATGCCACGACCTATCCTGGGGGCAGGTCGGCTGCATGGCGAGGACGGCGTCGAGCAGCTGCGCCGCCGTCGCGTCGAACTTCTCGTGCATGAGCTTGCACCTACCGGAGATATGGGGAGAGATGGGGAGAGATGGGGAGATAGCGTCGAAGAGCATGAGCTTGCACCTACCGAAGCGCAGGCAGACCGCAACGCACCCCTCTCCACACACCTCCCTCCCTGCCCCCACACCCTGCGCCGGCGGGGGACGCGCACATGGCATCGGCACGGAAGATTTGTCGCATCTCCGGCATGTTGACGCGCCAGAGCCGCTTCGCCTCCCTCGCCAGCAGGCCCGTCTCGCCCGCCCCGGCCCCTCTCCCGCCCGCCGGCCCGCCCTCCCGCTTCCGCTTTCCGCGCGCTGCCCCCGCGGAAGCCGGCAGAGGGAGCGGCGGCTCGCCGCAGTCTTCCTCGAGCTGGTCCGCCGCCGCGAGGTAGCGCGCCTCGAGCAGCCGCGTCACCTCCGCCTTGAGCGCCTCGCGCCGCGCCCCTCTCTCCGGCGCGAGCCGCCGCGAGAGCGAGTCGAGGGTGCACCGGCCGAGAGCAAGCACCTACGGAGATGTGGGGAGACATGGGGAGACATGGGGAGATATGGGGAGTCGAGGGTGCACCGGCCGACAGCAAGCACCTCGACGAGGAGAGCGGCGGCGTCGTCGCCGATCCTGCGCCGGGTGGCGCACACCACCCACGGGTACCACCGACGCGCGAGCACCTCGTCGAGCGACGCGTGGTACACTGGCCGCTTGCCAGCTGCCGAGACGGATCCGGCTGCGCCGCCGTTTCCCGCCGCCGGCCTCGCAGCCGCCGCCCGCCCCCGCTGAGCGGGCGCGGCGGGCGGCGGCGCGGCGGGAGCGGCGACAGAGGCGATGTTGTGCTGGAAGAGCACGAGCAACGAAGCGCGGATCTGCGTGGCGGTCAGTGTCGACCCAGTCGACTCGAGCCCGCTCGCCAATTGGATCAGTGTGCACGGACCGTGCTCAAGCAGGTGTACGCCGACCGTCTCGACGAGCTCGCCCAGGTCGGAGCGCAGGATCTGGCCGGCCACCTTGAGGGAGAGAGAGCTGCCGCTGCCGCTGCTCTCCATCGAAAACTCCCTCGCACAACACTGGGCACGGGACTGGCGCGCACTGGCACTAACACAGGCGAAAAGAATCTTACATCCCGCGCACTGCCATCACGACCCGCGCCGCATCGAAGAGAGAGTGGACCTGAGCAACGATATGACTTGGCGGCAAAAATTTGGAGTGGGAGTCAGAAATGTGGTCCTTGCGCGAGGGGAGCTCGATAGACTTGAGGGGCCAGGATACGCCGCGAGGAGGACGGAGTTGCGCCGAAAGGCGAAAGAAGCCGCGAGAACAAGGGACCGGCAGGCGGCGGCGCCGCAGGACGAGGCAGAAGAGAACGACGCGACAGAGGAGGAAGTGACAAGGGAGAGAACGACGAGAGTGGGACGGCCGCGAGGTGGCATGAAGGTTGCAGCGAGACGCCAAGCCCGCCCCCGCCCTCACCGCCGCCTCCATCGCCCCCTCCGCCCTCACCTCCTCCCCCAAGCCCGCCCCCACCCTCACCACCGCCACCTTCGCCTCCACCTCCCTCACCTCCGCCGCCCTCCCCTCCCCCACCGTCGCCACCGCCGCCGAGCCCGCCGCCGCCGTCGCCGCCGCCTCCCTCACCCCCGCCACCGTCGCCCCCGCCACCATCACCCCCGCCCCCTTCCCCTCCACCGCCGTCGCCGCCCCCGCCAAGCCCGCCGCCGCCAAGCCCGCCGCCGCCCAGCCCACCCCCTCCCTCGCCGCCGCCACCCTCACCCCCACCGCCCTCGCCGCCTCCTCCAAGCCCTCCGCCCCCCTCTCCGCCTCCGCCCTCACCGCCTCCGCCCTCACCGCCCCCGCCCAGTCCCCCGCCACCCAGCCCACCTCCGAGCCCTCCGCCCCCCTCTCCGCCTCCGCCCTCACCGCCGCCCCCAAGCCCACCCCCTCCGTCGCCGCCGCCGCCGTCACCGCCGCCGCCGTCACCGCCACCGCCAACGCC